GGGGGGAGACCTTGGCCCAGGTTGCCCAGGGAAGCTGTGGCTGCCCCATCCCTGGCAGTGTTGAAGGGCAGGTTGGATGGGAGTTGGAGCAGCCTGGGCTCATGCAGGGGGTTGGAACTAGATGATCATAAGGTCTCTTCCAACCCAAACCATTCTATGATTCTGTGATTTCTCCAGGGTGCTCTTGGCCTGGTGGCAGCTGAGGAAGACCCTGGTGGTCCCCTGTGCTGGTGGGCCAGGACAACACCCTGTTCTGCACACCACCCCATCTCATAAATGCTGGGAAGAGCTGCAGGCCCTGAGCTCACCTCCATTGTGGTTGATGCTGTTCAACTCCAGCAGTGCCACGCTGATGGGGTGCCGGGCAGCTGGGTACTCCTCCTCGCTCTCAGGGTCGTTCTCCCCACCAGCCCCTTCCCTCTCCTCCTGGAAGCTCTCGCTGCTGCCCTGGCCAGGGGGGTGGTCACTGGTGTCGTCCTTGTGGCTGAAGACTGCCACCCCGTAGATGCTGTTGTGGCTGATCTCGTTGTTGATGAGGTGAGGGAGGCTGGAGGACATCATCCACACGCCACAGCCCTTGTTGCCTGCAGAGCAGGGTGGCACAGCCCACTGACTCAGCAGGGCTTGGAGACCCCCCAGCCCTGCCCGAAGCATCTGGCAGCCCTCATCCAGCACAGGTGGGATAGAAGTGGTTCTCCTCTTGGAGCACACATGAAGGCTAACTCTACATGTCAGGGGGCCACAGCCACCCTTTGGCCCTGACTGGGTCCCGTTGTGCTGGCATGAGTCCATGAGCTCAGTGGCTTTGTTTCCCCACCTCCATCCTCTCCTGTCACTGTCCATATTGCGACCTCAGCTCAAGTCCCTGGTTTAACTCATGCATCAGGAGGTAAACCCCAGTGCCCTGGGGCTCTGCAGGGTGGTCAGGCTCAGCTCTGGCTCCATGGGCACATGGCCACAGTGCTGGAAGCCCACATCTCCTCCCAGGATCAGACATGCACTGGTCTCTACTCCTCCAGACTGGAAGTTCCCAGGGCCAGGGAGGGAGCAGCTCTGGGAACATGGAGCCAGGTTTCCCTGAGGCTTGACCTTGGGAGCCCAGGTTCATTCTCCAGTGTCTACCATAGGCTGAGCTGCAGCTCCACCACCCACAGTATGGCTGGGCCCTCCAACCACCCTCCTCCTGCCTTGGCCACTGCTACTCCAGAGACCTCAGGGACCTCCCTGTGTGTGCCCTGTACCCCCACTGCAAGGGGCTGACACTGGCCACCAGCAGAGCTGGCCACCACCTCCAGCTTTACTGGGATAGACAGACACACACACACAGAGCCATGCTACATGACTGCCAGCATCCTGTCTGTCCTAAACCAGGCCAGAGAGGAGCACAAGCCCCTCCAGGGCACCCAGCACAGCCCCTCCTGACAGCCTGTCCAGCCCCAGAGGACAGGGAATGGGCACAGTGTGACAGTCACTCTCCAGCCTGTCCTGCTCCTTACCACAGATGGTGTTCCCTTCGATGAGGCCCTTCCCGTGCTCACCCACCACAACACCATCTGAGTAGCCGCAGGAGATGAGGTTGTTCCTCAGGATGGGGTCCCCCCCATGGCGGATGTCTGCTCCACCCCACTGGTTCTCACAGATGACATTCCCTAGGGCCAGACAGGAAGGATGAGGTGACCACAGAAGAGCAAGGAGAACCTAGCATGCCAAGACCTGGTCCCAGTGAACAGCTCCCATGCATGTACAGGCCTCAGGAGCTTCCATGTTCCCTCATTTCCCTGGCATGGGACAGTTCCAGTACCACCAGCTCCCTGTCCTCAGAGGTGTAGGCAGAGTGGAAAACCACTCAGAGGTGCCATGACAGTAGGAAAATGGCATTGGCAGTTTATGCTTATAAACTGGATAGCACACCAGGGATAAAATGCAGTCTGCACAGCAGAGTGCTCTGGAGCACAGTTCCATGTCCCAGCTGGGTGACAGACAAAGGAAAGAACAACTTAGAGGGTACACTGCAGAAAGATATACTTCCCGTGTCAAGGGAAGAAACACCACCAACTAGGGAATGGAAACCAGGGCATTACTGCATGTAAAGTCACCCAAGAACAGTAACAAGAATCATTTTGCAACCAAACAATGAGATAGAGCTTAAAGAGAGAGACTAACTTGGCACAACAACTGCATTTTCATTCCCCTACCTGTGATTTGGCCTCTTCCGTTCTCATTCACTGCTATTCCAGCAGCCAGTCCCTGGAAAATATGGTTCCCACTGATGCAGGAGAAGAAAAGGCAGTTAGGAGCAGCAGGGATCCTGCTCCACGTGGGTCCCCGTGCCCCCGCAGCCCCTGCCCAGGAGCCAGGGGAGGGGGCTCATGCCAAGCAGGGGGAGCTGCTGAGAGCTTAGCAGCTTCCAAGGAGGTGAAAGCACAAAAGAGGCACCATGAAACACTTGTCAGAAAGAGCACTGGAAGAGCTGGAAGAGCTGATGGACGTCTGAACGACCACCATGCCAGACCAGCTGTCTGTCCAGCCAGGGTGCCATCTCCAGCAGTGGCCAGGTCCCACCTAGGTGGACGCTGCAGAGGAGTCTGCGAGGGCTTCAGCCCGTTTCCCCCTTTCTTCTCAACCAAGGGAGGTGATGAGAAGCTTTATCAGCCATGGAACTCTGCTCCAGGAGGGGCAGATGGTGATCGTGGTTGATGGCAGGAAACATCAGAGTGAAGGTGTCACCCACTGTCCCCTGGGCTCCCACCCACCGCCTGTCAGGAAGAATGAAATCTGGGAGGCCCAAGCCCACCATCAGCTCCTCCTCCACAATGCAACCTCAAATCTCAGGTTTGCTGCTGAGGTTCAGAGTGAGACACCATCAGGTTGATCACAAAGAAAAAACATGTGTAAAGTGCCCTGCCTGGCACTGACTGCCCAGCATCCACCCAGGAGCACTCACTGGAGACAGCTCTTCTCCACTGGGCTGTGCAGGCAGTGGAGGAGCTTCTAAAGAGAGAGATAGGATGGGATGGCAGTGCCTGTGGTGCCTGGCATGGCCACCTCATCATGACACCTCAGCAGCATGGCCACCTCACCATGGTCACCTCACCATCATGGCCACTTCACCATCATGACCACCTCACCACAGCCACCCCACCCCGGCACAGCTGCCCCTCCCCCTGCAGCTTCCTGCTCAAAGGCAGCAGCTGCTGACTTGGCTGGTGCAGCCTGGGAAGCTCTCACTACCCTGCCAGATCAGGGAAGGTCCTGGGCTGTGCCCAGAGATCACAGAGCTGTTGGTAGGCTGCAGGACCTGGCGTGACACAGGCCCCAAAGATGTGAGACCAGGTGAGCAGAGGAACCCACCAGCAGCTGCAGGGCACAGAGGCAGGGAAGCCTGAAGCCACCCAGAGGACCCCCCAGGAACATAGTGTCCCAGTGTCTCCAGGAGTGGCAGCAGCCTCCCCCCACCAGGCAGCACCACAGGCAGCACCCGCAGCATCGCAGGATGCAGCCGTGACAAACTGTCCTGGCAGCTGAAAGAGGGCACCTCTGACTGCAAGATACCTGTGCCCAAGGGCCTATTCCATCCTTAAAAAATATGATTTGCACCCTTGTGGGATGCCTTGTGAGCATGCTTCTCAGTAGGACAACCCCTGCTCCCTGAACAGAGCCCCTGGCCCCATCTGTCCCCAGCCAGGCAGCTGCAGGCAGTGACATGGGACAGAGCTGGGGCTGCAGCTCCCAGGGATGGGCAAAGCCTCATACTGCATACAGCCACGGAGAAGGTACCCAGAAAAGGACATTTCTGCTACCACAGACCTGTTCCATCCCTGCCTGCCCTGCTGTCTCCTCAGCCAGACCCAGCCATGCCAGCAGCTCCCTCGGCCCAGCCCCAGGCAGCAGCGGGAGCAGAGCAGAGCAGCTCCACCGGGAACATGCAACCGGCCAGGAGAAAAAAGGTGTCATCTCACCAAGCTTCCTCCCTCCCTCCTCCCCATCACCTCCCATGTACCCCTGAGCAGGGAGTCACATCTCCATCACAAAGTGCACACAGGGGTTGCAAACGATGTTGCAAGAAAGCCTGGAGAGAAGGACACCTGTTGAACCTTTCCACCCCACAGTGTTCCCTCTGCACTGCTGGGCCCTGCCAGAACAATGCAGCTTTGCTAAAAAATCAACACCTGAGAGCACTTCCATCATCCCTTGCTGGTGTGCCTGGCCCTGACCCTGTGTTGTCAGGACTGACATGCAACCTTCTCCTCTCCAGGTCCCCAGACAGACTAAAGGCTGAGGCACCCTGCTTCTGTGTGTCCACACGGGCAGCCT